ACATACGTAACATCAACACAGAAAAAAACAAAAAGTTCCATATACACAACCTCTCTTATCAACACTCTCATATTTGTCATACATACATATAAGTAGGGAAAAAGGAGGACATCTAGATATGTTGAACCCTTATTTTATGCCTCACACCTTTTTCCTAAAATAGTATAACTTTATTTAGTGTCTAACTTTCAATTACACGGTTATAGTATTTGTTTTGTTTCAATGAGAAGAATTTAAAATATTGAGAAATTAGTGAATATTAAGGCACTTAACATTTTTTTAATACGTGTAAAGTTAGAATTTTTATATGTATACGAGAAAGGAGTAAATGTGGAAAATTTCTCCTCCTTTGGACCACTTGACATAGGCCCATAGGAGCATGTATGTTAGTATAAACTTGTAACTTTGAGGGTTCTTCCTATACTATATCAGATTTTTTCCTCAACCACCTCATTTTACAAATAATCTTGACAGAAAATTTAAACACGTTGGTTAAAAAAAATGTATTGCTTCATCTACTCTTTTAATCAAACAAACATGCAAATCAACATCAAATGCATTAATCAAACGAAGAGAAGAGCAAACCAACCAAGCAGCAAGCACACTCTTCCTCGACAAACAAACCAAACACCTCAATTAATGAAAGCAACAAAAATGGAAATGGAAGAAAAGAGAAAACAAGAATAATAGAGGAGGAGAGGAAGAAAGCAAAAAGGAAGAAAGAAAGAGAAAAATAAGATTTGTGGAGAGTGAGGTGCGATAGGACGAGTAAAAGGGGAAAGAGGAGTTAGGGTTTAAATTAAAGTAAAAAGTTAAATGATAAAAGTAAAAAAAAAATTTACCTATGGATATTTTTGGGAAAAACAAAATCTGTGGAGGTGCAGACAAAATCTGAGATGGTGTAAGGAGAAACCTCTGTAATTTTTACATTTCTCATTACCTTTGTTTGTTTAGCTATTATATTTAATGAGGTGTAGGAAGAAATTTAATGGAGCTGGAGGGAGAAAGAAACGACCAATTCCTTCAGGTGAAAAGTAGACCAAAGCCCAAAATTCAAAGCCCAAAATTTCCCTTTCGTCACCGTCTTCACCATCTCTAACTAAACTAAACCCTGTCTGAACCCTATCCAATCCCAAACCCTATCTCTCGCTGTCTAACATGGCTCTCTCCAAAGCCTCCTTCTTGACGCACCTCAGAGCCGTGGCGAACCCTCGCCGGCGCCCTCCCCTCTGCGTCTCCATCCGTCTGCTCTCATTCTCCTCCCCGGAGGAAGCCGCGGCAGAGCGCCGCCGCCGAAAGCGACAGCTCCGTATGGAACCCCCGCTCTCAGCCCTGAACCGCACGCAAACCGCGCCAAAACCCCAACAACAAACCCCGTACTACCTTAACCCTAACAACCCGAAGCTACCCGAACACGTGTCCGCACTCACCGGCAACCGTCTCAACCTTCACAACCGCATTCTCGCCCTCGTCCGCGAAAATGACCTCGACGAAGCCGCGCTCTACACTCGCCACTCCATCTACTCCAACTGCCGCCCCACCATTTTCACTATCAACGCCGTCCTCACCGCCCTCCTCCGCCAATCCCGCTATGCCGACCTCCTCTCCCTCCACCGCTTCATCACCCAGGCCGGCGTCGTGCCCAACATCATCACCCATAACCTCATCTTCCAGACCTACCTGGATTGCCGCAAACCCGATACCGCTCTCGAACACTACAAGCAGTTCCTCAATGACGCCCCCATGAACCCTTCCCCAACGACTTACCGTGTTCTCATCAAAGGCTTGGTCGATAACAACAAGCTTGAACGCGCCATGGAAATTAAAAGCGAAATGGATTCTAGAGGGTTTGCGCCCGACCCTCTTGTTTACCACTACTTGATGTTGGGTCACGCAAGGGTTTCTGATGGTGATGGCATTTTAGGGCTTTATGAGGAGCTGAGAGGGAGGTTGGGGGGAGTTGTGGATGACGGTGTTGTTTTCGGGTGTTTGATGAAAGGTTATTTTATTAAGGGGATGGAGAAGGAGGCAATTGATTGTTATGAGGAGGCTTTGGGGAAGAAGATGAGTGCTGTTGGGTATAATTCAGTGCTTGATGCACTCTCTAAGAATGGGAGGTTTGATGAGGCGTTGAGGCTTTTTGATAGGATGATGAAGGAGCACGAGCCTCCTAAAAAGTTGAGTGTTAATTTGGGCAGCTTTAATGTGATTGTGGATGGGTATTGTGGTGAAGGGAGGTTCAAGGAGGCGATGGAGGTCTTTAGGAAGATGGGGGAGTATAGGTGTAGCCCGGATACTTTGTCGTTTAATAACTTGATTGAGAGGTTGTGTGATGATGGGAGGGTTGTGGAGGCTGAGGAGATTTATGGGGAAATGGAGGGGAAGGGGGTGAGTCCTGATGAGTTTACTTATGGGTTGTTGATGGATGCTTGTTTCAGAGAGAATAGGGCAGATGATGCGGCCGGATACTTTAGGAAAATGGTGGACTCGGGGTTGAGGCCTAATCTGTCTGTATACAATAGGTTGGTTGATGGGTTGGTTAAGGTGGGGAAGATTGATGAAGCCAAGGGTTTCTTTGAGTTAATGGTGAAGAAGCTCAAGATGGATGTTGCTGGCTATCAGTTCATGTTGAAGGTGCTGAGTGACGCGGGCAGGTTGGATGAGATGCTTCAGATTGTTGATACGTTACTGGATGACAATGGGGTTGATTTTGATGAGGAGTTCCAAGAGTTTGTTAAGGTGGAGTTGAGAAAAGAAGGGAGAGAAGAGGAGTTGACCAAGCTGATGGAAGAGAAAGAAAGGCTGAAAGCTGAAGCTAAGGCTAAGGAAGCCGAAGCAGCCGAAGCTGCAAAAAGAAGTGCAAGGGCTGCAGTAGCTTCCTTACTTCCATCCAAGTTGTTTGGAAACAAGGAAACGGATTCAGAATCTAAATCAGAGGGTGATATTCAAGCTCTCAATAAAGAGAGCTCTGATGGTACTGCTCCTGAGGCAGAGTTGGCAGAGAGAACGACTGAAACTGAGGGTGATAAAGCAACTGAACATGAAACAGCTTGATGTTCCAATTTCTTGGTGCTTCATGTGGAGGTATAACAATAACCTAATGAATGCTTAGATGAGGAGGTATTGTTTCTGTGTCTGCCAATATAGTTTTGAATCATCAATTTATGTTACCAACGTTTTGAGTCATACTACCTGTAATTAAATTTGTTGGAAAGGATTACGCAATCTATGGTTTTCCCATTTTTACAGTGCCGTACTATTGGGGTGTTGGTCTAAAACCTTCTTCTAAGTTGAAACCCCGCAACAAGATCGGCCATTGTTTTAATTTTGTAAAATGGAATAATGATTCTCTAGGAATTATGATGGATTTTCTTAAATTGCAAGTGAAGTAATATTGACATTGGGTAGATGACAGGTAAGAACTTCGAAGCAAGATGAAGCAACTTATTTTCTATTGTACACCGTAACCGCAGTGAGTTGGGAACATTATGGTGCGTAAAAAGCGTAGTTCTTTTCACTGCTCTGCAATGAGCTCCTTGGTTCAAGCAGTGTCCACCTTCCAAACATAGTCTAATTTTGAACAAATGAAGTTGAAACACATCTACCAATTCAGTTTGGGTTGGATTGGGATAGTTTTAGTAGTTATTGTAGCGATCCTTTATTGTTTGTTGTTAGATTTGATTATATGTAAAAAGTGTATGAGAAAGTCGTTTTATGAAAATATATTTTGTTTAGATTATCCTACATAACAAATTTTTTATGCTGATATTATAAAAAAGGGGCATTCAATTATTTTCGATGGTTAATTCTGCATATACATTGATCAATTGATAGGGTTGGGAGATAACGTGGAAAATGCAGCTAATTCGTGAAAGGACTATACAATTGAATTTTGAAGGAATCGAAAATAGTTGTTCGATTTAAACCCAAGAAAAACCACCCATCTGGAAAGTGTATACCAAAAGAGGGGTGTAGTAACTGATACGGGCATTGTTTAACTAGAATGGGAAATAAAAACTATTAGCAGTGGAGGAGAAAGTTAGTAGTAGTTATGTATTATTGGCAAGGAAAAAACGTATTTCGTATTTTTCGGTAAACTTGATCTTTGTACTGTATTTTAAAATTGATGAATTAGTTTTCTAATATTAAAAATGTGTGAATGTAGTTTTCTCCAACAATATCCTCAACTGTAATAAAAAAAAACTTTTACAATATTAATTTAAGATTTGGAAAAAAAATAAAATGGTATATTTTAAAAATTAGAAGATTAATTCATCAGTTTAAATATACAAATTTCAAAATCAAATTTATTCGACTAAAGGTATACTTTTTCTTAAGGGTGATATTTGATGTAATTTTTTCAAGGGTTCCATGTCTGATTATTATAAAAGTTGGATCAAACAACTTTTTGGTAAGAATTTTTTAAATGCTATTTTTGATGAAGAAAATTACAAAGATTACAAAAATTAATTTTAAGATATCTTAACTTCTATTTTATTTTTCTCTTTTCAAAACATTCAACATCACATGAGAGAATACATTGCGACTTAAAAATAAAAAGAAACTTTAAAGTTTAATAAAACATAAATTACAAAATAAAATTAGGCTTTTAGCTATAAGAGTCTTCTGATAAAAATGTCTTATATTTAACACTTTTTTAAAGCTATAATTGAATAATTGAAGAATTTACTTTCATGCAGTTTGAACAGTAACCAACCCGATATATATTATCACCGTAAAAATGACAAAACTCTCCAATCTACATCCTAAACAAAAACCTAATGAAAAAACCCATTAAGCCAGTATTAGCCTTGGCTTGACTCAGATGTTCAGAGCAAGAGTTAATTCAAATTCCAATCAAACAAATTTCAGAGGAAGAAAATCTGGTTCATTACACAGTTTATAAAAACTGGACATTTCAGAGCCACTTCGATGGTATAAATATATAGCCCAAATGAGTGAAGAAACAGAACTGATAGAAATGCCCTTCAAATAACATGTCAACTACAGAGATTTGGCATGCACACACCAGCATCAGAATTCTGTTGCTCCTTCCATATTCTTCCTGTAACTCTGAGTTTCAGCTCCTTTCTGTCCCCACCAGAGAAAAATAGAGCCATATTTCTTTGAATGATGAGCCCATCGTGGCTATCCCTCACTTTACGGTGGCTATCTCGAACACTCCGTGGCGTACCCTCCCAGATGAGTTTTCTACCATTGGCCCCAACCTCTAGGCTATAGCTATAATTCCGAGCCTCATTCTCATCACCCATAAAACGAAGAAATGCCATGTAAACAGGTGCCATGCCAAGCTGGAAAGCTTCAAAATGAAGGCAGAAATATTGGCCAAAACAATGAAACACCTACCAAACAAAATGAGTTTTTCAAACAAAACAATCAGACGAAATTATTAGTGTAAGTTAAACTCAGACAAGATTTCAGTTGCAGCTACATGATGAATTAAAATAAAAAGTTGTCATCAGCCATCATTCTTCAATATGGGGAAAAAAATATTAATAGGATGGAACACACAAATTTCAGTCATATAAATTACATGATGTAATTGGCAACAATTATTACGAGCATTTAATATAAAAAAATTAGCCACAACATCAGTTCCCTTGGCTCTTTCCAAATCAGAAACTGAATCCCTACAAACAATTTTTGAACTGCAAATATATAATGAATGGGGAAAACAATCTCCCCCACTCCACCCTCTTCCAATATTTCAAAAATGAAAGAACAATCAGAAAAAGGATGTAATAGATACACTTACTGTGAGCATCCAGGTTGCATTCTCCACTTCACGTGGATTTGACTTCACATAACGATGGTTGAATGTGCATCCTGTGTGCATGTCCACTTTATGATCATCCCTTAAATGAGCAACAAGGAAGGGAATATCTCCCACGACAGAACACTCTGATCCAGCATAAGGNCGTCACCGTCTTCACCATCTCTAACTAAACTAAACCCTGTCTGAACCCTATCCAATCCCAAACCCTATCTCTCGCTGTCTAACATGGCTCTCTCCAAAGCCTCCTTCTTGACGCACCTCAGAGCCGTGGCGAACCCTCGCCGGCGCCCTCCCCTCTGCGTCTCCATCCGTCTGCTCTCATTCTCCTCCCCGGAGGAAGCCGCGGCAGAGCGCCGCCGCCGAAAGCGACAGCTCCGTATGGAACCCCCGCTCTCAGCCCTGAACCGCACGCAAACCGCGCCAAAACCCCAACAACAAACCCCGTACTACCTTAACCCTAACAACCCGAAGCTACCCGAACACGTGTCCGCACTCACCGGCAACCGTCTCAACCTACACAACCGCATTCTCGCCCTCGTCCGCGAAAATGACCTCGACGAAGCCGCGCTCTACACTCGCCACTCCATCTACTCCAACTGCCGCCCCACCATTTTCACTATCAACGCCGTCCTCACCGCCCTCCTCCGCCAATCCCGCTATGCCGACCTCCTCTCCCTCCACCGCTTCATCACCCAGGCCGGCGTCGTGCCCAACATCATCACCCATAACCTCATCTTCCAGACCTACCTGGATTGCCGCAAACCCGATACCGCTCTCGAACACTACAAGCAGTTCCTCAATGACGCCCCCATGAACCCTTCCCCAACGACTTACCGTGTTCTCATCAAAGGCTTGGTCGATAACAACAAGCTTGAACGCGCCATGGAAATTAAAAGCGAAATGGATTCTAGAGGGTTTGCGCCCGACCCTCTTGTTTACCACTACTTGATGTTGGGTCACGCAAGGGTTTCTGATGGTGATGGCATTTTAGGGCTTTATGAGGAGCTGAGAGGGAGGTTGGGGGGAGTTGTGGATGACGGTGTTGTTTTCGGGTGTTTGATGAAAGGTTATTTTATTAAGGGGATGGAGAAGGAGGCAATTGATTGTTATGAGGAGGCTTTGGGGAAGAAGATGAGTGCTGTTGGGTATAATTCAGTGCTTGATGCACTCTCTAAGAATGGGAGGTTTGATGAGGCGTTGAGGCTTTTTGATAGGATGATGAAGGAGCACGAGCCTCCAAAAAAGTTGAGTGTTAATTTGGGCAGCTTTAATGTGATTGTGGATGGGTATTGTGGTGAAGGGAGGTTCAAGGAGGCGATGGAGGTATTTAGGAAGATGGGGGAGTATAGGTGTAGCCCGGATACTTTGTCGTTTAATAACTTGATTGAGAGGTTGTGTGATGATGGGAGGGTTGTAGAGGCTGAGGAGATTTATGGGGAAATGGAGGGGAAGGGGGTGAGTCCTGATGAGTTTACTTATGGGTTGTTGATGGATGCTTGTTTCAGAGAGAATAGGGCAGATGATGCGGCCGGATACTTTAGGAAAATGGTGGACTCGGGGTTGAGGCCTAATCTGTCTGTATACAATAGGTTGGTTGATGGGTTGGTTAAGGTGGGGAAGATTGATGAAGCCAAGGGTTTCTTTGAGTTAATGGTGAAGAAGCTCAAGATGGATGTTGCTGGCTATCAGTTCATGTTGAAGGTGCTGAGTGACGCGGGCAGGTTGGATGAGATGCTTCAGATTGTTGATACGTTACTGGATGACAATGGGGTTGATTTTGATGAGGAGTTCCAAGAGTTTGTTAAGGTGGAGTTGAGAAAAGAAGGGAGAGAAGAGGAGTTGACCAAGCTGATGGAAGAGAAAGAAAGGCTGAAAGCTGAAGCTAAGGCTAAGGAAGCCGAAGCAGCCGAAGCTGCAAAAAGAAGTGCAAGGGCTGCAGTAGCTTCCTTACTTCCATCCAAGTTGTTTGGAAACAAGGAAACGGATTCAGAATCTAAATCAGAGGGTGATATTCAAGCTCTCAATAAAGAGAGCTCTGATGGTACTGCTCCTGAGGCAGAGTTGGCAGAGAGAACGACTGAAACTGAGGGTGATAAAGCAACTGAACATGAAACAGCTTGATGTTCCAATTTCTTGGTGCTTCATGTGGAGGTATAACAATAACCTAATGAATGCTTAGATGAGGAGGTATTGTTTCTGTGTCTGCCAATATAGTTTTGAATCATCAATTTATGTTACCAACGTTTTGAGTCATACTACCTGTAATTAAATTTGTTGGAAAGGATTACGCAATCTATGGTTTTCCCATTTTTACAGTGCCGTACTATTGGGGTGTTGGTCTAAAACCTTCTTCTAAGTTGAAACCCCGCAACAAGATCGGCCATTGTTTTAATTTTGTAAAATGGAATAATGATTCTCTAGGAATTATGATGGATTTTCTTAAATTGCAAGTGAAGTAATATTGACATTGGGTAGATGACAGGTAAGAACTTCGAAGCAAGATGAAGCAACTTATTTTCTATTGTACACCGTAACCGCAGTGAGTTGGGAACATTATGGTGCGTAAAAAGCGTAGTTCTTTTCACTGCTCTGCAATGAGCTCCTTGGTTCAAGCAGTGTCCACCTTCCAAACATAGTCTAATTTTGAACAAATGAAGTTGAAACACATCTACCAATTCAGTTTGGGTTGGATTGGGATAGTTTTAGTAGTTATTGTAGCGATCCTTTATTGTTTGTTGTTAGATTTGATTATATGTAAAAAGTGTATGAGAAAGTCGTTTTATGAAAATATATTTTGTTTAGATTATCCTACATAACAAATTTTTTATGCTGATATTATAAAAAAGGGGCATTCAATTATTTTCGATGGTTAATTCTGCATATACATTGATCAATTGATAGGGTTGGGAGATAACGTGGAAAATGCAGCTAATTCGTGAAAGGACTATACAATTGAATTTTGAAGGAATCGAAAATAGTTGTTCGATTTAAACCCAAGAAAAACCACCCATCTGGAAAGTGTATACCAAAAGAGGGGTGTAGTAACTGATACGGGCATTGTTTAACTAGAATGGGAAATAAAAACTATTAGCAGTGGAGGAGAAAGTTAGTAGTAGTTATGTATTATTGGCAAGGAAAAAACGTATTTCGTATTTTTCGGTAAACTTGATCTTTGTACTGTATTTTAAAATTGATGAATTAGTTTTCTAATATTAAAAATGTGTGAATGTAGTTTTCTCCAACAATATCCTCAACTGTAATAAAAAAAAACTTTTACAATATTAATTTAAGATTTGGAAAAAAAATAAAATGGTATATTTTAAAAATTAGAAGATTAATTCATCAGTTTAAATATACAAATTTCAAAATCAAATTTATTCGACTAAAGGTATACTTTTTCTTAAGGGTGATATTTGATGTAATTTTTTCAAGGGTTCCATGTCTGATTATTATAAAAGTTGGATCAAACAACTTTTTGGTAAGAATTTTTTAAATGCTATTTTTGATGAAGAAAATTACAAAGATTACAAAAATTAATTTTAAGATATCTTAACTTCTATTTTATTTTTCTCTTTTCAAAACATTCAACATCACATGAGAGAATACATTGCGACTTAAAAATAAAAAGAAACTTTAAAGTTTAATAAAACATAAATTACAAAATAAAATTAGGCTTTTAGCTATAAGAGTCTTCTGATAAAAATGTCTTATATTTAACACTTTTTTAAAGCTATAATTGAATAATTGAAGAATTTACTTTCATGCAGTTTGAACAGTAACCAACCCGATATATATTATCACCGTAAAAATGACAAAACTCTCCAATCTACATCCTAAACAAAAACCTAATGAAAAAACCCATTAAGCCAGTATTAGCCTTGGCTTGACTCAGATGTTCAGAGCAAGAGTTAATTCAAATTCCAATCAAACAAATTTCAGAGGAAGAAAATCTGGTTCATTACACAGTTTATAAAAACTGGACATTTCAGAGCCACTTCGATGGTATAAATATATAGCCCAAATGAGTGAAGAAACAGAACTGATAGAAATGCCCTTCAAATAACATGTCAACTACAGAGATTTGGCATGCACACACCAGCATCAGAATTCTGTTGCTCCTTCCATATTCTTCCTGTAACTCTGAGTTTCAGCTCCTTTCTGTCCCCACCAGAGAAAAATAGAGCCATATTTCTTTGAATGATGAGCCCATCGTGGCTATCCCTCACTTTACGGTGGCTATCTCGAACACTCCGTGGCGTACCCTCCCAGATGAGTTTTCTACCATTGGCCCCAACCTCTAGGCTATAGCTATAATTCCGAGCCTCATTCTCATCACCCATAAAACGAAGAAATGCCATGTAAACAGGTGCCATGCCAAGCTGGAAAGCTTCAAAATGAAGGCAGAAATATTGGCCAAAACAATGAAACACCTACCAAACAAAATGAGTTTTTCAAACAAAACAATCAGACGAAATTATTAGTGTAAGTTAAACTCAGACAAGATTTCAGTTGCAGCTACATGATGAATTAAAATAAAAAGTTGTCATCAGCCATCATTCTTCAATATGGGGAAAAAAATATTAATAGGATGGAACACACAAATTTCAGTCATATAAATTACATGATGTAATTGGCAACAATTATTACGAGCATTTAATATAAAAAAATTAGCCACAACATCAGTTCCCTTGGCTCTTTCCAAATCAGAAACTGAATCCCTACAAACAATTTTTGAACTGCAAATATATAATGAATGGGGAAAACAATCTCCCCCACTCCACCCTCTTCCAATATTTCAAAAATGAAAGAACAATCAGAAAAAGGATGTAATAGATACACTTACTGTGAGCATCCAGGTTGCATTCTCCACTTCACGTGGATTTGACTTCACATAACGATGGTTGAATGTGCATCCTGTGTGCATGTCCACTTTATGATCATCCCTTAAATGAGCAACAAGGAAGGGAATATCTCCCACGACAGAACACTCTGATCCAGCATAAGGGCAACTATATGGTCTATAATTGCATACTGTCTCATGCTTAAGCTTGCTGTAGTATGGAAAGATTTCTGAACATCCAAGGGAGTAGTACTTGCAAGGTAGCTCAAGTGATTCAGCCACCTTTTCCAGTGCCAGACACCTAATATCTCCAAGCTCTTGTCTACAAGTGGGACATCGGTTGTGCACCCTTGTTTTACAAGTGGAACAGAGTGTGTGGCCATTGTGACACTGCAAAAGTAAATTAATCTTTTACATATTTATCCTTTTAAGGCATATATACAATACACTCTTTTGCAGCTTCAATAATGACAAAATCAACTTTCAACTTGAATGAAAAAATGAAAACAAGAATTGTAGAATCAGAGATTGGATTAAGTTTCAAATATGGGAAGAAACTCTAGCTTCACTTTTTATGCCTGAAGTTACGTAAACATACAAAAAACATTGACTATTGGGCCCCTAAGGACCAAGAAATGTGAAGAATAAACCTCATTATCTACTAGTAACTATTTCATATTCCAAGACAAGTTGTATCCACCAAATTAAAAGATAATCTCATATTTGGAGAGAAGAGACAAACCAGAGGTTGTTTGGATCAATTGAAAGATAATAGAAATGAGTGGACAGTAAAATAATTTTATTTACTATTATTCATTATTTTTAATACTTTTCATTATTTATTATTACTATTATAGAAAAAACAGACAAAAAAACACCCATATTTGATTATGGGTATTCCTCTGTGGGTTGGTCTGGTTTAATCAAAGTCAACTGATTCTCATGGAATACGAGGTGAGTTTTAACCGAGCTGATCACTTAGTCTGTAGGTACCTCTCCTATCCTCTTCTTTACAAGGTCTAGTTTCTACTTCCTTCAAACGGGGCCAAGTCTTTAGTTTAAGTTAGGTCATTGCAGTCTCATAATCAATTATGTATACAAATTCAAAATACCTGCTGTTATACTAATATAATCAAGTTATGTTACATCTTCCCTTACTAGCCACAAGTCAATCTGGATTTCTCTTAGTTTCTTCTAAAATCTCATCTCTTCAATCCAGAAATCAAGAACCGTAGGGACCACATAATATGCCCTCTACTTTCCTAGGTAATTTACCTGTTCCAAACCACCAAAACCACACCATTTCTACGCCTCTCCATTCGCAGTAGAACTCCCTAGTAACACTTTAAAAAGGGGTGACACATCTGTATTTATTTAATACCAATGATTACTTCAGAATTTGAGCTTAACTTTGGTTGTAGTTGAAGAAAGGTTCATTAGGTATGAGAACATTAGGTAGATTTTCAATCTAAAGTTTTTAGTTGCATATCTATTTTGGGAAGGCATTGCTTTCCTAACCTGTATATTTCAGTTCATTGATATTTAAAGGGCATACATAGGTATGCAACAAGATTGGAGATCTTTATTGAGTTTATGGTATGCTCTTCTGGTCTATGTTCTATTTAGCTGTTTTTTCCATTTCTAGTAATATTCTATCTACCCTATGAAATTCCTGATAAAATCTTCTGAGTTTTACAGTCAGATATAATCACATAAAGACACTGAATCAACCACTTTCAACATTATCAACAAATTTCAACAAAGGCAACGCTTCTATCCATTATACTAGCATACATGTGTTTTGCATTCTGAGCACAACGCCATTGTGCAACCCCGAAATATATTCAACTTGAAACATTTTTCACAGGATATAGGCATTAAACGAAGGCTCGTTACATATTGGGTCTTGCTCTCACTAGAAACAAACGATAATGCTTTAAAGATCATAACTCCTTTTTAACTAACTCATAAAAAGTCAAATACATGGTTCAATGCTTGGAAGCAAAATATGTAAACTATCCTAAAATCAACCTTCCCTCAAATACAACAGTATGCATACAAATGGAAACAATGAAAACTAATTTGTAATTTTGTTTGCACTAAGCCGAAACAGGAAGTGTTAAACATCATAATGAAGCTCTCCATAGCCATATACGTACAACCAAAAAAAGATTAATATTTGACAACACAACAAATCCCTCTACATGACACCATATTACCAAGAATTGCAAGTAATGTCACAATTCAACAATCATCACTGAAGACTCATCAAAACCAGTCAAAAGCCTATCTTAATTGTCCTCATCCTCTCATAAGATCCACCAATCGAATTCACCAAGAAAGCCAAACACGAGATTAGAAAAATTGGAGAAAGAACATACCTGGTGGATTGGAGGGTACATTGAATNCATAAAACGAAGAAATGCCATGTAAACAGGTGCCATGCCAAGCTGGAAAGCTTCAAAATGAAGGCAGAAATATTGGCCAAAACAATGAAACACCTACCAAACAAAATGAGTTTTTCAAACAAAACAATCAGACGAAATTATTAGTGTAAGTTAAACTCAGACAAGATTTCAGTTGCAGCTACATGATGAATTAAAATAAAAAGTTGTCATCAGCCATCATTCTTCAATATGGGGAAAAAAATATTAATAGGATGGAACACACAAATTTCAGTCATATAAATTACATGATGTAATTGGCAACAATTATTACGAGCATTTAATATAAAAAAATTAGCCACAACATCAGTTCCCTTGGCTCTTTCAAAATCAGAAACTGAATCCCTACAAACAATTTTTGAACTGCAAATATATAATGAATGGGGAAAACAATCTCCCCCACTCCACCCTCTTCCAATATTTCAAAAATGAAAGAAAAATCAGAAAAAGGATGTAATAGATACACTTACTGTGAGCATCCAGGTTGCATTCTCCACTTCACGTGGATTTGACTTCACATAACGATGGTTGAATGTGCATCCTGTGTGCATGTCCACTTTATGATCATCCCTTAAATGAGCAACAAGGAAGGGAATATCTCCCACGACAGAACACTCTGATCCAGCATAAGGGCAACTATATGGTCTATAATTGCATACTGTCTCATGCTTAAGCTTGCTGTAGTATGGAAAGATTTCTGAACATCCAAGGGAGTAGTACTTGCAAGGTAGCTCAAGTGATTCAGCCACCTTTTCCAGTGCCAGACACCTAATATCTCCAAGCTCTTGTCTACAAGTGGGACATCGGTTGTGCACCCTTGTTTTACAAGTGGAACAGAGTGTGTGGCCATTGTGACACTGCAAAAGTAAATTAATCTTTTACATATTTATCCTTTTAAGGCATATATACAATACACTCTTTTGCAGCTTCAATAATGACAAAATCAACTTTCAACTTGAATGAAAAAATGAAAACAAGAATTGTAGAATCAGAGATTGGATAAAGTTTCAAATATGGGAAGAAACTCTAGCTTCACTTTTTATGCCTGAAGTTACGTAAACATACAAAAAACATTGACTATTGGGCCCCTAAGGACCAAGAAATGTGAAGAATAAACCTCATTATCTACTAGTAACTATTTCATATTCCAAGACAAGTTGTATCCACCAAATTAAAAGATAATCTCATATTTGGAGAGAAGAGACAAACCAGAGGTTGTTTGGATCAATTGAAAGATAATAGAAATGAGTGGAAAGTAAAATAATTTTATTTACTATTATTCATTATTTTTAATACTTTTCATTATTTATTATTACTATTATAGAAAAAACAGACAAAAAAACACCCATATTTGATTATGGGTATTCCTCTGTGGGTTGGTCTGGTTTAATCAAAGTCAACTGATTCTCATGGAATACGAGGTGAGTTTTAACCGAGCTGATCACTTAGTCTGTAGGTACCTCTCCTATCCTCTTCTTTACAAGGTCTAGTTTCTACTTCCTTCAAACGGGGCCAAGTCTTTAGTTTAAGTTAGGTCATTGCAGACTCATAATCAATTATGTATACAAATTCAAAATACCTGCTGTTATACTAATATAATCAAGTTATGTTACATCTTCCCTTACTAGCCACAAGTCAATCAGGATTTCTCTTAGTTTCTTCTAAAATCTCATCTCTTCAATCCAGAAATCAAGAACCGTAGGGACCACATAATATGCCTTCTACTTTCCTAGGTAATTTACCTGTTCCAAACCACCAAAACCACACCATTTCTACGCCTCTCCATTCGCAGTAGAACTCCCTAGTAACACTTTAAAAAGGGGTGACACATCTGTATTTATTTAATACCAATGATTACTTCAGAATTTGAGCTTAACTTTGGTTGTAGTTGAAGAAAGGTTCATTAGGTATGAGAACATTAGGTAGATTTTCAATCTAAAGTTTTTAGTTGCATATCTATTTTGGGAAGGCATTGCTTTCCTAACCTGTATATTTCAGTTCATTGATATTTAAAGGGCATACTTAGGTATGCAACAAGATTGGAGATCTTTATTGAGTTTATGGTATGCTCTTCTGGTCTATGTTCTATTTAGCTGTTTTTTCCATTTCTAGTAATATTCTATCTACCCTATGAAATTCCTGATAAAATCTTCTGAGTTTTACAGTCAGATATAATCACATAAAGACACACTGAATCAACCACTTTCAACATTATCAACAAATTTCAACAAAGGCAAAGCTTCTATACATAATACTAGCATACATGTGTTTTGCATTCTGAGCACAACGCCATTGTGCAACCCCGAAATATATTCAACTTGAAACATTTTTCACAGGATATAGGCATTAAACGAAGGCTCGTTACATATTGGGTCTTACTCTCACTAGAAACAAACGATAATGCTTTAAAGATCATAAATACTTTTTAACTAACTCATAAAAAGTCAAATACATGGTTCAATGCTTGGAAGCAAAATATGTAAACTATCCTAAAATCAACCTTCCCTCAAATACAACAGTATGCATACAAATGGAAACAATGAAAACTAATTTGTAATTTTGTTTGCACTAAGCCGAAACAGGAAGTGTTAAACATCATAATGAAGCTCTCCAAAGCCATATACGTACAACCAAAAAAAGATTAATATTTGACAACACAACAAATCCCTCTACATGACACCATATTACCAAGAATTGCAAATAATGTCACAATTCAACAATCATCACTGAAGACTCATCAAAACCAGTCAAAAGCCTATCTTAATTGTCCTCATCCTCTCATAAGATCCACCAATCGAATTCACCAAGAAAGCCAAACACGAGATTAGAAAAATTGGAGAAAGAACATACCTGGTGGATTGGAGGGTACATTGAATTAGTACACACAGGACATTCCAGCAACTCATGGACGCTGGTTGCCGGAGCAAGGGCGGTGGACCCCACAGAATTAACGTTATTGGTGCCTCCATTGCGAGGCTTTGTGGAAGAAAACTCAGAGTGATGATGATTGGTGTGGATCTCATCCTCATCCATGCCATCCGAGGATGACACACACTCAACGCTTTCCAAGTCCATCAACTCAGAAAAACCCCTTTCCCCCACTGAAGGTAAAAAGATGAAAAGAGAAACACCCAGTTATCAAAATAAAAAATTTCACGGAACCAATTACCTGGGTATTCCCCGTTCTCAATCTTCTTCCTTCAATTCTCTGTGTTCTTCTTTCCCAAAAGAAGAACAAGAAAATGAACAAGAAAAAGAGAATAGGAGAAGGAAGACGGTGATGGACGTGGATCGGTGAATAAAGAGGATTGCTATAAAACCAAAGTTCATTCTGGTGACCAACGGGTTCTTTTCTTCGTTGTCTCTCTCTTTCTCTCTCTACCGTCCTGTGAAGAGAGAGAAAGGGGACGAGGACCGTTAATTTCAGAAATTAGATAGTACATGCGTTCATCCAACGGTAACTAAATTTCTTCTATTTCCTTTACTAAAATAACAATATCAATTTCACGTAATATATTTGTTATTAGTTATTTTGTTAGGTCACATGTTTGTTTTAAGGAAAAAAAAAAACATAACTGGCTCCCCTTTTACTTCACATTTTTTGAATTTCAATTTCTACTCAATAACGTGTTAATTTATTTAAATTTTATACCAATTATTGCAAATTCGAAGTGAAAACTTGGAATGCAATGGAAGAACTGAATTGGGTTATCCACTTGATATTTTTCTTCACCCAAACTTCACTCAAAAACACAATAACAATTTCCATTGAAAAGAAAGAGAAAAAAAAGGTTATTTGATTCGAACTTTTTTTTAATATTAGAAGCAATGATCATAATGTTGGTGGTGTACTCGATTATTTGTGAATTTCTTCTAAAATAAGTATACCGTACGTGCCTAAAAATAAAAGAAGGCTAAGAAAGAACAAAAGGAAATGAAAATATTGTGGTGAAGTTACATTACACCTAATGAAGTTATTTTACAAAGCATTTAACAGTTAAAATTGAAGTTTGAGAAATCTTATTCGTGTGGATGCAAAGCCATAATCAGAGGGTGAAGATCCAATAGAAAGAGGTTGACAGAACGAAAATGAAGTGGATTTAACTCACCCACTTTTTTAGAGCTGTTTTTATAATATCATTAAGTAACATGGTGAGAGATGGAGACTTTGGCACGAATGATGAAGCTTATAGGGTTTCACAACTTCAATTGGAGGCACGTGGTGGCTTCTCTTGCTTTCGTGTTATATTATTATGTACTATCATTCATTCATATTGCGATAGCAAATAATACCAAATCATAATTCTAATAAATATTCTTCACTCATAAAGCTGACAATTTCAAAGTAATGGGCATCATTAAACAATGAAAATAGTAGCCAGAAAATAATGAAAGAGTCAATTATTTCAGAGGAAATATATTCAATTTGTCCTTTTTTTTATTTTAGAATTTGGTTTCGATGTTGGTTTCAAAGTTTTAAATAAATCTTTGTCTTAATCAAATTTCAATATTTAAAAAATTGATTTAATTAGAACTTTTTTTAATGGAACTGAGAGTAAATAAGGACTTACTTAAGTTAATTTTTAAAAAATTGAAACTTGATAGAAATAAAAATGTAAATGAGGATCCACTTAAAATATTTCAACCACGAAACCAACGGAGTAATTAAACATAAAATATATGATTTGGTAAGAGATGTTAATAAATGTTTTTTTTTCAGTGGTGGATGATTGTAGAAGTCTTTTAGTGAGATTTTGAAAATCTTAATATTGGTTTTATTACTTTTGAAGACAAGGTAATCTTATGAATATATTTTTGAAATTAAGATTCCGTTTGAAACTTTATTGTGCTTTCAAGGACACAAAATTGATGATGAAAACTTCAAATGAACTAATACTCGTATTGAACATTATCACAAAAAATCTATATGATATATGATTATTTTTCGTGTAGTAGATCTGTTGGGAATTAAATTATCTGAGTAGACCACTAATTTTTTTATTTACCTCAATATACTTAACTACTTTGTAGATAGAAACTAGGTTACCTAGAACACGAAATTAGATGATAATTCATACAGAAATTTATGCATTTGTCTTGTTGAAGTTTGGCTTTTTAGGAATTGAATTCTAAGTAGATATATATATGTTTTTTGAAAATAAATTTTAAAACATGGAATACAGCATATAAAACGAATGAAAATACAATTTAAATTTTAAATAACTTAATTAATTAATTAAATTTCAAATCAATTAAAATAACGAAATATAAATAAAAAATGTATATGTAAGAATAAAATTTAAAAGATAATTGAAATTAGAGAGATTACATTTTTTTGTTTTGTTTGAGCAAATAAATTAATTTATAAATTAAGTAATAGCTTTAAATTTTGTTCTAACAGANTATTTCATATTCCAAGACAAGTTGTATCCACCAAATTAAAAGATAATCTCATATTTGGAGAGAAGAGACAAACCAGAGGTTGTTTGGATCAATTGAAAGATAATAGAAATGAGTGGACAGTAAAATAATTTTATTTACTATTATTCATTATTTTTAATACTTTTCATTATTTATTATTACTATTATAGAAAAAACAGACAAAAAAACACCCATATTTGATTATGGGTATTCCTCTGTGGGTTGGTCTGGTTTAATCAAAGTCAACTGATTCTCATGGAATACGAGGTGAGTTTTAACCGAGCTGATCACTTAGTCTGTAGGTACCTCTCCTATCCTCTTCTTTACAAGGTCTAGTTTCTACTTCCTTCAAACGGGGCCAAGTCTTTAGTTTAAGTTAGGTCATTGCAGGCTCATAATCCTTTATGTATACAAATTCAAAATACCTGCTGTTATACTAATATAATCAATTTATGTTACATCTTCCCTTACTAGCCACAAGTCAATCTGGATTTCTCTTAGTTTCTTCTAAAATCTCATCTCTTCAATCCAGAAATCAAGAACCGTAGGGACCACATAATATGCCTTCTACTTTCCTAGGTAATTTACCTGTTCCAAACCACCAAAACCACACCATTTCTACGCCTCTCCATTCGCAGTAGAACTCCCTAGTAACACTTTAAAAAGGGGTGACACATCTGTATTTATTTAATACCAATGATTACTTCAGAATTTGAGCTTAACTTTGGTTGTAGTTGAAGAAAGGTTCATTAGGTATGAGAACATTAGGTAGATTTTCAATCTAAAGTTTTTAGTTGCATATCTATTTTGGGAAGGCATTGCTTTCCTAACCTGTATATTTCAGTTCATTGATATTTAAAGGGCATACATAGGTATGCAACAAGATTGGAGATCTTTATTGAGTTTATGGTATGCTCTTCTGGTCTATGTTCTATTTAGCTGTTTTTTCCATTTCTAGTAATATTCTATCTACCCTATGAAATTCCTGATAAAATCTTCTGAGTTTTACAGTCAGATATAATCACATAAAGACACTGAATCAACCACTTTCAACATTATCAACAAATTTCAACAAAGGCAACGCTTCTATCCATTATACTAGCATACATGTGTTTTGCATTCTGAGCACAACGCCATTGTGCAACCCCGAAATATATTCAACTTGAAACATTTTTCACAGGATATAGGCATTAAACGAAGGCTCGTTACATATTGGGTCTTGCTCTCACTAGAAACAAACGATAATGCTTTAAAGATCATAACTCCTTTTTAACTAACTCATAAAAAGTCAAATACATGGTTCAATGCTTGGAAGCAAAATATGTAAACTATCCTAAAATCAACCTTCCCTCAAATACAACAGTATGCATACAAATGGAAACAATGAAAACTAATTTGTAATTTTGTTTGCACTAAGCCGAAACAGGAAGTGTTAAACATCATAATGAAGCTCTCCATAGCCATATACGTACAACCAAAAAAAGATTAATATTTGACAACACAACAAATCCCTCTACATGACACCATATTACCAAGAATTGCAAGTAATGTCACAATTCAACAATCATCACTGAAGACTCATCAAAACCAGTCAAAAGCCTATCTTAATTGTCCTCATCCTCTCATAAGATCCACCAATCGAATTCACCAAGAAAGCCAAACACGAGATTAGAAAAATTGGAGAAAGAACATACCTGGTGGATTGGAGGGTACATTGAATTAGTACACACAGGACATTCCAGCAACTCATGGACGCTGGTTGCCGGAGCAAGGGCGGTGGACCCCACAGAATTAACGTTATTGGTGCCTCCATTGCGAGGCTTTGTGGAAGAAAACTCAGAGTGATGATGATTGGTGTGGATCTCATCCTCATCCATGCCATCCGAGGATGACACACACTCAACGCTTTCCAAGTCCATCAACTCAGAAAAACCCCTTTCCCCCACTGAAGGTAAAAAGATGAAAAGAGAAACACCCAGTTATCAAAATAAAAAATTTCACGGAACCAATTACCTGGGTATTCCCCGTTCTCAATCTTCTTCCTTCAATTCTCTGTGTTCTTCTTTCCCAAAAGAAGAACAAGAAAATGAACAAGAAAAAGAGAATAGGAGAAGGAAGACGGTGATGGACGTGGATCGGTGAATAAAGAGGATTGCTATAAAACCAAAGTTCATTCTGGTGACCAACGGGTTCTTTTCTTCGTTGTCTCTCTCTTTCTCTCTCTACCGTCCTGTGAAGAGAGAGAAAGGGGACGAGGACCGTTAATTTCAGAAATTAGATAGTACATGCGTTCATCCAACGGTAACTAAATTTCTTCTATTTCCTTTACTAAAATAACAATATCAATTTCACGTAATATATTTGTTATTAGTTATTTTGTTAGGTCACATGTTTGTTTTAAGGAAAAAAAAAAACATAACTGGCTCCCCTTTTACTTCACATTTTTTGAATTTCAATTTCTACTCAATAACGTGTTCATTTATTTAAATTTTATACCAATTATTGCAAATTCGAAGTGAAAACTTGGAATGCAATGGAAGAACTGAATTGGGTTATCCACTTGATATTTTTCTTCACCCAAACTTCACTCAAAAACACAATAACAATTTCCATTGAAAAGAAAGAGAAAAAAAAGGTTATTTGATTCGAACTTTTTTTTAATATTAGAAGCAATGATCATAATGTTGGTGGTGTACTCGATTATTTGTGAATTTCTTCTAAAATAAGTATACCGTACGTGCCTAAAAATAAAAGAAGGCTAAGAAAGAACAAAAGGAAATGAAAATATTGTGGTGAAGTTACATTACACCTAATGAAGTTATTTTACAAAGCATTTAACAGTTAAAATTGAAGTTTGAGAAATCTTATTCGTGTGGATGCAAAGCCATAATCAGAGGGTGAAGATCCAATAGAAAGAGGTTGACAGAACGAAAATGAAGTGGATTTAACTCACCCACTTTT